ATAGAGTTTGAGAAGACCCAAAAGATAATTGTTACTTAGATTATTTTAACTGATATACTTGTCCAGTCTTAGGGCTATAGTTTCTATTTCTTCAATTGTCTTATTTTTACACTCAGAATTCCTGTTGTTTTCCTCCTGAGCATATAGTGTGCTTGCTTACTATGGAATTGTAACATTTATCACTGTTGGAGGAAAAATGTCAGCATTTCTTTACCTGTTTTTTACAGTTGCAAAGAAAAGTTGTGGTAGAAACTTTTTTGCTTTCTACTATGTAGTCTCCTGCACTGTGCTTGGCAGGACTGTAGGTAGGGGAATCATCCAGCTGCTGTGACCTTAACTTATGAAATTCACATCTCTGCCTTCCTGCTAATAACTACCTTGGTTTTGAAACCTTAAATTTCCATTGTCAGCAGCTATGTAACAACTGAAAAATCAGGCCTATAGATACATGTTAATTGTATCTTTAACTTCAGTCCTCAGAAGTGCATCCCAGACTGCCTTACCTGTAGTGTCTGGTGTTATTACTGTCTGCAGCCATCCCTAGATAGCACTTCTGTGGCTCAGCAGTAACCCTTCAAGTATATGTTGAAGGATTTGCAGCAAGTCTAAAAATTGTCCTTGGAACATAGACGTTTTGCAGAGCTTGGCTGCTTAGTCCTCACCAAGTCTTTCATAGTACCTTCCAACTCGGTCATTTTGCATGTTTACTCTTTTCTACATTATTTTTCATAAGATACTGTGGTTTGATATTTTGGATGTTTTAATATGACTTTTCACAAATACTATGGAGAGCATGATCAGAGTCAGTATCCTAATGCATGTTCCGTCACCTCCTAGGGTGAGCCATATGCCTTAGAGGGAGGAGCTGCCTGCTGCTTGTGTTATGTAAAATAATAAATAATTTATAATGCTAACTGAAAATATCTGCCTTGGTAGACAAACAGATGGGAAATGCTTGATAGGCACTAAATTGAGACATAATAAAAAAAATCTGTTGAAGACATGGGAGAATAATCTGCTTTTTTTTTTTTTAAGTGGGGGAGCTTTCCTGTGAGTCTGTGCTTTACTCGAGAGTATTACTGACCCACTTAAGGAAATCCTTAACTGGCGGATCAGTGAGCCATAATGGAGGTCTGCAATATGATTCTGCAAATACTTACCTATTTTACTGAAAACAGCTTTTCTGAAGCACTGCCTTGTTGCCGATACCAGGACCTGTTCCAGTAAAGTATCACATGAAGCTTTGGATCATGTAGCTCTTTCCTCTCATCTATCATAAAAGGATAAATGGATTTTGTGCACTGCCTTCGAAAGCTGAAGGCGTTGCAATGTACTAACAAATGCCAGTTTTAGTGTAGCTTTGAAGCTGTAATATATGCATGGAATTTCAAAGAACTGCATCTATATACTGAGCATGGTAATTTATCATTAGTGCTTGATGGTACGAATTAATACAGCTTCTGGAAGTTATTTTGTTGTCAAGCAAAGACTGTTAGCGTCTATCATATGGACTTCACCTGCTTTTTCCAATTTTTATCTTGGGAAATTAAATTGTGTAAACAGAAGAAGCTTGTGTCAACATTCCTCTTTTCAATGTAATTGCATTTTTCTGCAGTGAATAGTTAATGATGATCTGCTTTGCAAGATACAAATGCGGCAGTGACCTGCTCTCGTTTAGATGTTGCGGTAGTAGAATGGTGGGGCTTTGCATGATGTTTTCTTTCATTGTTTGTGTTAAGCTGCTTGCATGTGTCTGCTGTGAGCTGGGTGGCTTGTCTCTGCATCAGTTATAAAGGAATACTTACCTTCTGTTTCTTCGAACAAATAAGTATTCTTGATATAATTTTAATTTCTTTCTCCTTGATTATGAAAACATAATTAAGATATTTTGGTGAACATGATCCATAAATGCACATGCTTTGGATTCATTTTGTGTGCTGTTCAGTCTGCTGTTCCATCTGCTGAGTTTGCTTCTTGGTTGCAAATAGTTAAAACTGCCAAATGCTTTTTATGTAGCACCTTTTTGTTGGTAGGGTTTGCAAGCTGATAGTTGTATATAGCTGATAGCTGTGTATGCTGTCTTGTGTACAGTTATGAAGCACAGAAACTATTTGGTGGAATTATCACCAGCATAAATGACAAATACACTGCTAAAAAGGTACCTTAAAAAAATAAAGCTTACATATTGATAAGGGAAGAAGTCTTTTTTCACCCTTGCCTTCATTTTGTGAAGTAAATTAACTGATTGTTGACTGCATGGGTAATATTTGAAAGAAAAATATTTCATTCAAATGTAGAATATAAATCACCAGATTTTCTGCTTATAAGGTTACATCTATTTTTATAGGTTCTGATAAATACTATTAAGATGTTACTGATTAAATCTTCAAATAGAAAAATTCAGAAATTTCACTTCCTAAGTTAAATCCAGGTTTTGCATAGGTGTGTTTTACTCAGTTAAAGGAGAAAGCCATTGGGAGACATCTGCTGTCCTTAGTTAAAATGCTTTGACCTTATTGCAGTAGATATTTTGGCCACATTTTGAATTGAATCTGTTAAGTCATATTCTATAGAAGTGAAATTTTACCTTCTTTCTAGTGTGTACAACTTAGAGAAAATAGAATGAGTCGTCTTATCAAACTGACATTCAGAGACATCTTAATGTTTGTAGTATATGAATAAATGCTGAAGTTACCAATAAAACAGTGAACTTTTTAGATTTGCATTTAGAGGAAATTTTAAAAGAAATTTTTCACGCTTCAAAATGTGTGACTTAGAAAATGCTCTTTTGAGGTTTATCTTCATTAACATTTCTGAAATTGTATGCCCAAAACTTACTTGTCATTTTAAAAATGCTTTTATTCCCTTACCTACTTCGTTTTTACTTATCAAGCCCTTGGAGGACTTAAAGTCCATAAAAGGAGCCAAAAGCCCTTGAGTATTTGCGCAAAAAACGTAATTAAACCATTATTTGATTTCTGTTAAAGTTACAACGCAGTGAGCTAAGGTATTTGCACCGAATTGCATTGCAATTCAAGATGTGGTCTAATAACCCAAATACATTACCAAAACTGAGTATACTGCTCAACACTTGAACTAATATTCTGAAAAAGGCCCATATATCCAGTGTGAATGCTATGAACCAAAAGCCTATATCAACAGATATTTTAAAGCCAAGTTTTAAAACAAATAATAGGACTAATTCTTTAAAAACAGACCTTTTAGCACTTTGGTTACTTACACTTATGTAGCTGTTATCTAGGACTGTTACTCAGTATAAAATAGCTTCAAATGCATGATTTATAGCAAAAATTACTAAGTTATTAATATATCCTTATAATGTGACTTAAGTAAAATGTTTTGTGTTCTATCATTTCACTCTAAGCTGCTATTAAACATAAACTTCTATATTTCTGCTAGGTCAGATAAGGTGCAGTGTTTCAAATTTTTTGCTAAATGAAACGGTGAACGTACGATGTGCTTCATTAAAACTTCTGAACTTACAACTACCCTTTTTTAAATTCTAAGTTGATGATCACTTTACCTTCTTTTAACTACACTTGCATTTCTTGATCATATTAATTTTTCAACTCAGTTTCTGCTTTAGATACTCATCCTGTTTCTCTACTGTTTTCCTCAATGATTTCCACCTGATTCTTTAAATGGGCCAGATAGAAATTGACTCTTGGCTCCTTCTTGCTTGTTTTTTTTCTGGATAATCTCATTCAGAAATGTTTTTTCAAGAATTATGCTGACAACTCTGGGTCTCACATTTTTCTCTTCAGTCATACCTTAATTTCTCTAAAATTGGGTTTCTCTGCCGTTGCTCCTTTGTAACCCAAATATATGTCTGTTATCCTATACATTGCATTATTGTCCAGTACTCTTAAAATTGTTTGCATCTTCATTTATCAGCACTCCCCTGCCATCCCAAATCCTGTGCAGTTTTCAGTTTTTATAGAAAAAGTACAACAGCCAGAATTTCATCATTGCTTCTTGTTTGTTCTGTATCATTTGTTTTGTTTCCCCTTCTTCCTGACCCATCTAAATTTCTATGCTACTGCAGAATTTGTTTCTGGCAAAACTCCTTCACAACATTGTCACTGTCTACTTGATCAAACTTAACTATTAGCAGCATTTCAAATATTACTCTGAACCATCTGTTTATTTCTTACATTCTCTTTCAGGGGTTTTATTCTCCTTTGCCATGTACAGGCCATTTATGTTAACCTTTAGGAAAGTACTTTCTTCCAGTTCCTCAGTATCTGCTTCTGTTTGATTTGTGAGGAAGTTTGTCAAACTTTATCTAAGTTTTAGATCTTTTTTGTTGCTTTAATCAAGATATTTTTTAATTCCTTAATTAGTTACTATTATTGTCTTCTATATCTTTGCTTTTTAGTATATTACCTCGTTTTATATAGACATTTGTTCTTTATAAAAAAAATAATTTCAGTCTAGTATAAATATTTTGCTAAAGTGGCCTGGAACAAGGAAGAAAAAAAATTTGGTAGCAGTAATTGTCTGTTTTTAATATGATCTCTATTTTCCTGCTTTTAAAAATAAAATGGCACTATTTGATTGGAACTGAGGCTGTTGTCAAATTGAACCATGTTAATCCCCTGATTAATTGTAGACTAATGCAGATTTTTGAAGTGTTGCAAAAATTGCTTGGTAGGGATTACATAAACCAAAATAATGGAACATTGTCCCTTTTTTGAACCCTTAAATATATGTTGCCTTGTTCTTTTGGAGGCCTATAATAGGTTGTGGATAACTTACTTGTTACCATAATGATCTGTAAACAAAATAGATTCATAGTAATTTTACAGATGCTGCATCAACAACTTGAATATGCAGGCAGAATTTAAGACCCTGCAGTTTCCTGATAAGAAGCAACTGGACTGGTTTCAGAGGAATTTGCATTAATCTTACTTTCTTTTTTTTTTTTTATTAAAAGCCTCAACGCTGTAGTTTTGTGTGTTGTGATTTTTTTTTTTTAGACTGAGTCTGGCTATGGATCAGAGTCAAGTTTACGACGTCATGGATCCATGGTGTCTCTTGTTTCTGGAGCAAGTGGATACTCTGCAACATCCACCTCTTCGTTCAAGGTTAGTAATAAATTTTTCTTAGTATTGGTGTGTAACTAACACATGCAATTGGAAAATAAATAACCCATGTGAAGATTCATTCACACAATTACAGAAAAATATTTGGTTTATTATCTTAGTAATTCCTCATATGATGATGAGTAGATCATACAGGAAGCTCTCTTGTGCCTTTGTGCAGTTGTCCCTTTTAAACTATAGTGTCATCTTCCAGTGGCAAGAAAATAAAACCTGTGGGAGTGTTTATTAGCCTTTCCTAGTTTATGTGTCAGAATATCCGGCCCTCTAAGTGAAAAGGAATGCTGATTCTGTGACTTAGTAAATTTGATTAATACTGATGATGATGATGATGACTTTCCTTGTCTCATGCATATGAATATTTAACATCTGAGCTCATGTGGGCTGTACTTGTGGGAAAACAGAAGAGGAACAACACACTAAAGGGGACTAAAGATTGGAACAGAGATCTTAAACTAGAGCTGACGGTTTTCTGGCAAAATAGGCATAAAGTTGGTAGCATGCAAGATTGCATTTTTAATGAGCTTTTATTGAATGCTCTAAAGTAGCAGATGCAGTCAAGAACAAAAATTGAGGCCAGTGGACAAAATGAGTAGGGAACACTTGTATAGTTTCTTTTAACATTAACAGTATTTCATAGCTGCTGATACCTAAAATGTCCTTAGTGTACTTGTATTTGACTTTCATAGGTGCAGAAATCATTTTTTTTTAATTTATGCATTGAACTATTACTGAGCATGTAGAAGCATTTCAGCCTTTTTCTCTTGTGTTTTCAGAAGGGCCATAGCTTACGGGAGAAGCTTGCAGAAATGGAAACCTTTAGAGACATATTGTGTAGACAAGTTGATACTTTACAGAAATACTTTGATGCCTGTGCAGATGCAGTTTCAAAAGACGAACTCCAAAGGGACAAAGGTAAAACTGTAGCTGAAAAACTCTTTATCTCCATAGAATTTAGCTTTTTACACAGTAATAGCACTTGAAATAGTTACTGTAGAATTTACAATCGTATAAATAAATAAATAAATATACTCTTTAGTATAGGAGTCAGATATTTCTGCATGAACAGTGTTAACTATTGTCACTTCAGAAGTTGGATTCCCATGAAAATCTGCTTAACTTAATATTAACCTGTAGCTGTCACCTGTATGAAAGAAATACTCTTTTAAGCATTTGATATTATATAACAACAATTATTTACCCTCTCAAGATTAATTCAGGTTAGTTTATCACTGTGTCTCTTACCTTTTAGTTTGAAAAACCAGTAGGATATTAGTTTTGATAGAAACAATACATTCTTTAAAAAAGGCAAAGATGCTGCCATAATGAACTCTCCTGAGATGTATTGGCTGGAACTAGAGCACTGAGTGCACACCTGAGGCCCTAGTAGAAGCAGGTGTGGATGTCTACATGTCTCTGAATTCCTCTTCTCAGAGCACAGGTTTTTTGCCTCAGAAGGGTGCATGGATATGACTTTTAAATTCATCCCTGGGTTTGTTCTGGAAGCCTGAAACTTTTTGTAGTAAGAAAACATTAGATAATACAATACCACTTCTTTATGAATTCTGTAGTATAGAAGAGTAGGCAGCTGCTGAACTGTGACTCCCTGCCTATCCAGCTATAACACCAAAATAATGTTGTTAACATAGAATGGAGTGTTAAACTTTAATGCTGAGCAAATGTTAGTGTTCTGATGGTTTCTGAAAGTAATGTTGATAGTGATCTTGGATCCAGGAAAAAAAGTGGGTGTGTTCATGACTGTTGCAGAAAAAGATCTTAGTTTGCTGCTTAGCCATGAGGATACTCATAGTTCTTTCTTGCACACTAAAGAATTGGACAAGCTTTCTCATTCTCATGACACTTGCTCTCAAATTTAGTGGTAGAAGATGATGAAGATGACTTCCCTACAGTGCGTCCTGATGGGGATTTTTTACATAACAGTAACAGCAGTAAGGAAAAATGTAAGTATGTCCCAACTTTTTTACTGACAATTCATATGAATGCTGTGATAAGCCTGAGACAAGACGGATGTTTATATTCTAAGCAGAAACTGGCAAGAATAGTTATTTAAATGTATGCGACAGGAAGTTCTTATTCATGTTATTCATTAGCTGCTTTTCATGATTCTCTGAGTTACTCTTAATTCACACAATATTAAGGCAAACTTGTCAAGATGCTATTTCCTATTCCATGTCCAGCCACTTCCACTACAAAATTCTGTTGAAACAGCTGCATCATTCAGGTATTGGGAACTGAGATTTGTAACACGTAATTGCAGTTTTTCTTATAAGTGTTAACCTGCTTCAGGAGTGTGGTGGAGCACAATGCTTTTCTGGTTAGGTATGTGCCAGTAGGTTTTTTCCATGTTCTATGGCTACGTAGTCATGTTAAGTCAAAATTGTTACCGATTCTCACTCATAACAATTTTAGCACTTTTTTACTGTTTACCATTGTTACAATGAACACAGTTATGATTTTTTTTTTTTTACTCTTATCTTTTTTGATCTAGGTATTGTACTTTAGCCATGCCTGGCAGAAGTTGTGTATGCATTTAAAGATTATTTGCATTCTTCTTAAAGTTTTTATTTCCTGACTGAAATACTTTAGTGTTTGCATTCTCTAGATGTTGACAATTCAGTCCTAAGGTATTTCTTACTTTGATTTGCAAAACTTCAGAGTTGCACCACCTCTGATTTCAGATGTGATAGAATCTTCCAAAGTACTCAGCAAGTGTTTGTCAACTGTAAGCACTTTCATCAAGAACCTAGAAAGTATATGGGCAAAATAAACCTTTTCTGTGTCTTCTGTTTTGTTTTTAATTTTTTATTGTCCCTGTGTGTAACATCTTTAGTCGCTGTATTTAAGTGCTCTTTCTAGAGTATAGCCAAAACTGTTATGTGGAAAGAGGAAAGGAAATGGAAAGAGCTTTCAGGATACTTCCAGAATTCATCATATGAGTTGTTTTTTTTTAAATTATATAAAGTGCTTGCTCTACTGAGGATTAATTGTAAAACATTTCAGAGGTTAAGTAGCATATAACCCTGAAGTTTCGAATAAATCTTTCTTGCCTCTTGTCACCAAAGATAAACAAGCTTGCAGTGCTCACTTGTAAGCAAGTTCATAGTTCCACTAACCCTATTGTGTGTATAAGTGTACATTTTCCTGAGGACTGTTAAGTCAGAGCAAATTTCAGAAAACTGAAAAGGCCTTCTTTAAAAAATGTGAAGTGAGAATTTAATTTCACTGCATGATTCATTTTGAAAGAGATGTCTTTGTCAAACTTAGTTTTTGTAGGATCATGTAGGAGCTTCAGCTTTAGAACAATGTACCTTTAGAATATTTCTTCATATTTACATTCTTCTGGTATTATGTGCACATACAATATAGGGAATGTCATTAGGGAAGTTTATATTTTTAGTACATCTAGTCATCTTAGAATATTTAAACGTGAAGTAACTTCATTTTTTTTCATTAGCTGTTTAAGAGGAATTTAGTAAGAAGTTCTGTAGCAAGTCTTTGGGAACTTAAATGCTAAGAAGTTGCAATGTATTATGGATATCTGGATATAAACTCACTATAAGTCACTACAGAAAATTTCTGCAACCACTTGCTTTCTGCAGAACTTATAATTCCAGTTGTGATTCCTGATTCCATTAAATTCACTTTCCGTCAGTTACTTCTGTGTAAAGCTTTATCTCTGTTTTAGTTTTTCTGTGCCTCAGTTTGATGTCTAAGGGCCACATTCATTAAACATTTAGTATCTGAGTGCTACAAAGCTTGATTAGAAATGAAAAATCAGAGTATGCAGTAAAGTGCAATCAAAAGTCATAAGTGATGCAGTGGGAGTAGATGGCTCAGGTTAGAAAGCCATGCCCATGTGTTGGCCAGAAAGCTACTCAGACTAACTGATTATTAAAGATGTCATTTCAACTTCACTGTTTTCTAAAGCTTAGCCTTAGAGCAGCTGTTAAGATTCTTTGGTTTCTCATATTTCAGTTTCCTTCTTGAAGTCCCTATCTAGTCTTGGAAGGACTGGAACAATCTTTTTAACTGTAGCTGAGAAGTGGTTACCTGTTTATTCCGGGGCTGTTCTGGAGTCAGTGCTTCAGCAAGTGAGAAGCATGGATTCAACCTATTATTTAGCATACTATGATAAGGACAAGTGTTTGAGCCTACTGTTCAAACCACTAGTACACTAATCCAGTGCTCAAATCAGTAGATTCAAGGTTGACCTAAGGGACTATTCACACTACCTTTTGAAATTTGTTTCCTTCTGCACCTGGACAGGAGGAGAAAGTTAACTTGACTATAGAGACGTGTACTACTGTGAAGTTGTTTTGAATAGGGAGGCTTTTTCTTTCCCATGTTCTCTAGGATCTTTGAGTGAAGAGCTAAGAGTATTATAAAGGTATTTAAATTTATTCGTCACTTTGCAATTAAAAAAAAAATCTGGTAACTGTATCAATGATCATTTGTATAAAACACCAGTGGCGAGTCTGGCTGATGCATACTTACCCACTGGGATCTTATATTCTAAGAATGTAGAATTTTGATCAGGAAGTGTTCCCATCCGCATACGGAAATTAGCATATTTGGATTTAAGTTACTGAAAAACTTAAGAAGAGCATGTGAAACCTACTTAAGGAATCTCACTGAAAACAGAAAGTGTTGTTTTACTGTAACTATGAAGAAGGAAATGGTACAGAGGCTGAGGGGGAGATCTGATGTGAAACACTATAGGATTTATGCTGGGGTTTTTGTGCTTTGAATGGAGGAAGAATATTCACCAATGTACTGCTGAAATAATTGGGTGGTTCTCGGAGGAAAACTGATCATATTGATCAGAAGACTAACAACAGTAGGTATCAATAAATGGGTCATGCACCTGAAGGTTTCTTTTCCATGTCGTGACATAAGACACTAAGGTGCATAAAAGGAAAAAGATAAAGGAACATTTTCTACTTAGTGGTTTTAAAATAATTTTCTGTTTCACTGGAAAACTGTTTAATCAAACACATGATGTTTGGGACATCTGGGAGAGAGTTGCGAACAGAATCTTAGGAACAGGAAGGGAAAAACTGACCTATCATAACAGGCATAAGAGGTATAGGAGAGAAGGGCTAAATAGCTTTTGAAGGCTAAAGCATGGTATGAAAAATCCTTTGTATGAAAGGCAAGAGAATAAATTAGAAATAAAGCAAAATGCTTAAAAAAAATAAGATAATAACCTTGGAACCACTTGGAGGATGTGGAAATTGAAGTTAAAGTAGGCGAGAAATCATCGCACTGCTTTTTTTCAGTTGGCTGCATGCAGTTTGATCACTAAGCTAGAAGAGCAGTTACAGTGGTAAGAACACATTCCTGTTAGACTTTGCCTTGAACTATATAGATCTCCTGATGTCAGATTTCATTTTTGAAACACTGTAGGTGACATGAAAAAATGGATGAAAAAGGAATAGGAAAGGTGTTTGGGATCTCCAAACAGAAAATCTCCTGAAAAATACTTTTAATGTGCTGAAGCTCAACTGTTACTGAGAAAAGGCTTGAAGGTCACCTTCCAACATGTTCCGGGAAGACAAATGTCTCCTGTGATAGGAAAGAATCAAAATACTCCCATGCATTGTAAGGAATGAGTGACCATCCCTTCAAAGAAGCAAGTTATGCCTCTTTCTGCCAGAAGTTTGGTTTTGCCCGGAATTATAATGGTTGAAAGGAAGTATGGATACTGACTTTAAAACTGCAAGCTCTGCATGTATCACTACAATTCTGAGATTAGTCATTAAAGAATGACCTAGAATATATGATGACTGAAACAGTATGGAAGTATTAATGAGCTGTAGCTGAGACCTAAAGATACCCAGCAACAAAAGCTGGCTTTTTTTTCCAGGAAATGAGGCTGTGTTGCTGCATTTCCCTTACAATCAACCATAGAGATTTCTGAAATGATTAACTGTTTCGGCCACTGATCATCTCTTCAGCATGTCTAGCGTGTTGCATAATTAAGAGAGAAAAATCACACCTACAAGTATCATAGCTGTGCTGGTAAGCCTGCACATGAACATTCTACACCAACACAGCACATTATTAGTATAAACAGTATTTTTCAGTTCTGAAGTCTGTCAGGTAAAGCTCTTGTGCAACTTTCATTATTTTCAGTGAATCCACTGCATCATCTCCTTGCCGTTTATACCACTTTCAGTCTCAGACTCCTCCGTGTTCCCTCTGCAGCTGTTAGGGGGAGGGAGAGCTGCTCTGCTCATTGTTTCTGAAACAGATTTTCTTTCTCTTATTTTACTTTTTTCTCCAGCCCCCATCATCTTTACCTTTTGGGAGCATTCTTCATTAACATGAAACAAATAAAAAAAGCTGTATTCTACCACAGTGTGTATGCTTATTGAGGTATTTGAAGTAGTGCGTGGTCTGTAATTACCTGTTTGAAAAAGAGTTTGACTCCCTGTGAAAGGAGAGCATATAAAACCTCTAGAGACTTAAACCATTGCTTAAGACCATTGCATAAGATTGCTTCCTGTTCCTGAAGTGTAGATAGCATGCTCTACCATTAGAGAACTCCCTCAAGAACTGAACTTCTTGAAAGCTCTGATTAGCCCTGACAGACAGATACTGTATAAACTTACACAAATATTTATTTTTACTTTTTAAACAATAACAGTCGCATGCTGACAAACTGAC